ACCTGTGGAGCTTGAGAGTTGCTTAAAAGTAAACACTTGTGGAAGAGTTTTCTTTGAACAGTGGGGCCATAATGTCTGATAGACGTGAAGCATTTCAGAGAACTGCAAAAGGCAAAAGACACTATTAAAAGACACAATAAAAGTGAGGAAAAAGCTGTGTCTACTACTCTGCTACTACACAACAACTTCTTATCTGTGTTTCCAGTAGGTGCCAATCTCCAAAGATAGGTGTACCACACAGCTGCCAGTTCTGCCCAGTGTACTTTTGGTGTGTGTGTTGGCAGAGAATATAAATATTCCGAAGGAGAGGAAGGTGTCCTGTGTGATGGGCAGCCCAGCATATCAAACAGCTCTGCAGTGCAATGGCTGCTGTTACTGTGCTGTGATTCTGTGCTCTACAAACCCATGACATGGAAACCTTCAAAACAAGTCCTAATAGAAAGCTCTTTACACAGAGGCAAGATGATTGTAACTCATTTTGAGGTTTTTAGGTGACTTGTGCTTTCCTTAACAAGTGCCAATGATTGCCACCCCTAGTAACTTCCCAGGAAAAACCAGCAAATGTGTATTTTTGTCTTTTATGTAGATGATTATTTAGGAATATGTTTAAATCTGCACAAAATGTACTGTTAATGCTAAGTTAAGGCTACAAATATTTTAATTCTGTCAAAATGCATTTTAAGAGGAAGATAGTTTTAAAGCTTGTGAGCATTTTGTGCTGACACTTAACTTGAATTTCCAGGAGAAATTGTAAGTGCATAGCAGGCCTGCCAGGACTGGAGTGAGGATGAAGCAACACAGTCCAGTGTTTTTTAAGGATGGGATTGAAATTGGCTCAGAAAGGCTGTCCAGCCTGGGAGCTGCAGAAGGGAACACAGCAGGTATGGGACTGGGGCTGGCTGAAAAACTAGGGGAAGGTGGGAATTGTTTGGCATCAGAATCAAGAGGATGAAAGACAGAGATAGAAAAAAAGAAACAAGCAGAAAGAAGAGAAAAATGCAACTCTCTGAGTAAATACATTGAGTCAAAGAGGTGTGTAGTGAATATGAAATAAGGAAATGGCCACCAGGCTGGGAGCTGGGGCAGGAAATAGGGGAGAACCTGCAGATCTGGAGTGCAAAGGTTGGTTGGAGGTTCAACGAGTCAAAGAAGGGAGATTGAGAACAGGAAGGGAGAATTGGGTCTGGGAGGAGGTGAAAGAAAGTAGGAGTCAGGTGAAGGCTGTAGATAAATAAAGGTAGTCTTTTATACTCCTTCCACCACCAAAATGTAGCTTTTAGATAAAACTAATAACAACACCCTGTTTTCCCTGGGTGATAGGAGAGGACCTTTATCTGTCGAGCTGGAACTAGACTAAGTCATTTAGATGTTTAGTTTGTGCTTTTGGGGGTATAGGAAAGAAATATTTCTTCTTTGATCAGAGACCCTTTGGAGTTTGGTGACAAATTGTGAATGTCTTTTGTAGTGGGAAGCCTTTCTCAAATGATTCTGAAAGATTACCTGCAGTGTTGCTTGAAAAAAACCATACTCTGATCGTACTCTGGACTCCCTTTTTTATTTTTTAGTCCTGTTAACCTCAAAAAAGGCAAACTTCATCTGCTCTGCTGTGTTTTGTTTGGCTTGTGCTCTGTGCTGTTGCAAAGGGAAGCAGCTGCTGCAGTTTGTAGATTTTCCTGCAGTCTGTGATGCCACTGGGGTTGATCTGGTAGCTCTGGTCCAGTGCATTACCCTGGAAGCTGACTAGGAGCTATTTGGAAAGGTCCAAAGCAACAACGTGTTAGTTTTGCTTGTTTTGTGTTCCATTTTGTTTGGTTTGGGGTTTTTTTTCCCCCCTAGTAACATTTTGAAACAGTGTTTTTAGCTTGATATAATAGTTGCAATGATTGCATCCTGGTGGGAGAGGTGACTGCCTTTGCTCAGTCTCCCGGGCAAGAGGAGAGTTTTCCAACCAGGGAAAGGTGGAAGAGATTATTTTGAAAAATGTCTGCCACTTGGACAGCCCAAAGGAGTACAAGCAGTGGAAATCCACCTCTCTTTTGCTGAATGAGGGCTGTCTACTTTCTATGAAAGGTGCTGAAAACAACTTCTGATTTGAGTGTTCCTCTTTTCTATTCATGATCATTTGAGTCTTCTTTGGCTCCAAGCGGCACCAGCTGTTTCCCACCCTAATCTCCTTTCCTCTAGCAATCTGGCCGCGGTGCAGCAGCGGTGGCTCCGCTGGGTGAGGATGAAGTACTGCAGTTGTCCTTGGCGTGTTCTTGCCGGCTAAACCAGTGGAATCTCATTAGGGTAGATTTCTTCATGGCCGCTTATGGATGCCTTAGGGTGGAAGATGCCTGTGGTCTGCAGAGATAAAGGCCTTCGGAAAGGAGGAGCAAAGGCTTATCGGTGCTGCCAGTGAAAGATGAGCGTCTGGAGTCTTTTTAGAGTCGGGCCAGCTCTTTCTGTGCTGCTTTGTAGGCACTCAAATAGCATTTGTGGCAAAGCTCAAAGGGCCGTACCTGTTCCTACAGCCCTGGAAAAGCACGGGTTTAATGGCATTAATGGCATTAATTAGCGAAGGTGCAAAACCAGATAATACTGGAATAGTTTTCCCTTCTCTGGGCAGACAACACCCCGTAGTCCTGCCTGCGGTGCTCCTCACGCGTTTGGAAGCAGCCGGAGCTGGCAGCGGCAGGGCGGGAGCAGCTCTGGCTGCGGCCCTGCGGGACACACGAGAGCTCCGGGAGGAAAACACGGGCTGGCCGGGGCAGGGACAGCCGCGCTCCCCGCCCCGCCCCGCCTGGCGTCATGGAATTCCAGGGCGCTCCCGCCAATGGCGGCGGGGGCACGGCCGGTGGCACGGGGGACCGGCCCCGCCGCTGGCCTCGGGGCTCGGGCACGCCCGGCCGGCCCGGCCGCAGCCCCGAGCGCGGGGGAGCAGCTCCGCCTGCGGGAGAAGGGAGCGGGAGCCGCCGGACCGAGAGCCCTTCCCGCACCCCCGGGAGCGGGCACAGCTAAAGCGGACACGGACGAGCTGTGGATTGTTAACCTCCGGCAGCTTCCTGCGGCTGGGGACTGGTGCTGCCCTCTTCTAACTTTTCCATATGGGATGCGTGTGGTGTGTGGGGAATTGATGCCAGTTTCGGTGCCTGAGCATTTGCAAATAGTCTGATTGTATAATACTGGACAGCTCAGAGTTCACTTTGGGCTGTCCAGTAAGGTGCTATTATCTCATAAAATACTATCCACCAATCCACCAATACTGCTGCAAGTATAAATAAAATCCTTTATGGTTTCTCTTTCCTGACAGCCACCTCTCATAAACTCACTGTAGGGGCAGAGGTGTGTGTGTGTGGCATATCTGGTCATGTCTGTGTAGTGTAGCCCGTTGTTTTTATCTGAGCACTAATGCAGACTATATCTATTTTAGCAGGGTGTTCTGCCCACGATAACACTCTTTCTTGTCAGGTTTGATTAGCCCCAAGTGAATGCTCACATGGCTAAACCACTTCTGCTGCTGGAGGTAGTTTGGATGTCTCCAGGAAGAGCTGCATTACATCATAATGTGTAATAAAGATTTTGCAAATCAAATATGGCTCCTTCTAATGCCTAAATGACAGACAAGATGGTGGCACCAGAGCAGAGGCTCTGACTCTCTAGTTGAGATGCACTTGCAACAGTTGCCGGTGGCTGTTCAGTTGTATTAGAGTGCAGGTTACTTTCCCACAGGGCCTTTTGCTCCTGACATTAATAGAAAATAAAGAGCAAATTTTCTCACTAAACATCATGGCAGCTGATACAACCGGTTGGGGTCTGCTGGTGGTGACAGTGCTACACTTACAGTTGCTTTTGCAATAGCTGCCTCTCAAACCCCAACCCGTGGCCCAGCAGTGATGCAGGAAATGAGGCTCCTCTTCCTTCCCCAACAGCAGATTTTCCTTGTGAACATCGTGCCTGCAGTGTGTGTCTGAGACAGAAATACCCCAGCAGCCCCCTCCTGACACTCAGCTCTCATTTTACACACCAAGCATGCTGATGGCCCTCCCACAGCAGATCCTTGCTGGGTGAGCTCTGATGGGCCAGCTTACAGGGAGAAATTTTGTTTTGCGTCTGTGTAAAGAAAAAAGCCACAGAATCACAGAATCAAGTAGGTTGGAAAAGACCTCTAAGGTCATAGAGTCCAGCCTTTGTCTGAACACCACTTCCCAACTAGACCATGGCACTAAGTTCCATGTCCAGTGTTTCCTTAAACACATCCAGGGGACAGTAACTCCACCAGCTCCCAATGTCCAGTCAGCCCTCCAGTGAAGAAATTCCTCCTGATGTCCGAGCTAAACCTCCCCCGGTGCAATTTGAGGCCATTTCCTCTCGTCCTGTCACTGGTTGCCTGGGAGAAGAGCCCAATTTCCCCCTGGCTGCAACCTCTTTTCAGGAGCTTGTAGAGAGCAATAAGGTCACTCCTGAGCCTCCTTTTCTCCCGGATAAACACCCCAGCTCCCTGACAGCTCGTCGCAAGATGAATGCTGCAGACCCTTCCCCAGCTCCGTTGCCTTTCTCTGGACACGCTCCAGCACCTCCACGTCTATCCTGTAGTGAGGGGCCCAGAACTGGACGCACCACTCCATGTGTGACCCAGGGGGAAAAATCACTCCCCTAGTCCTGCTGGCCACGGGGTGACCCCAAACCCAAAGAACCCAGGCAGGGCGCATCCAGACGGGCTGCGGCGGCCGCGGCAGTGCCCGGTGGCGGGGCGGGGGTGGCGGCCGGGCCGTGAGGGGGACGCGGGGACAGGGAATCCCCGGGCGCGCGCGGCGTGCCTTTTGTGTTTGTACACACGGCCCGGGGGCGGGCCCGGGGGCGGGGCCGCGCCTTCCCTCCATTGTGCGCCATTGGCGGCCGCGCGGGGCCGGGGCGGGGCCGCCGCGCGGGGGGCGGGGCCGGCGCGCGGGGCCGGCCCTCGCCCGTCAGCCATCTTTCAATTGTGCTCCGAGCCGCCGCCAGCGCCAGCCGCAGCAGCTCCGGCTCCTCCTGCGCCCGCCCGCCTGCCCGCCCTCCATCCCTCCCTCCCTCCCTCCCGCACGGCAGCCGCGCTCGCCCAGCGGACGGGGTAAGTCTGGCGCCGCGCCCGCCGCCCCCCGCGCCCCGACACCCACCGCCGCTGCCCCCCGAGCCTCCCCACAAACTTTTGGGGCGCTCGGGAGGCGGCGGCGCCTCGCGTTCCCCTCGGCCGCGCCGCCTTCCCGGCGCAGCCGGAGCGGCTCCCTCCGCCGGCACCCCCGGCCCCGCTTGGCGCGGTCGTTGCCCCCCTCTGCTCCCCTCGCCCCCGCTCCAGACCCCCACCAGCGGCCTCCCCAGCCCCTCAGCTGCCTCCTGAGCCCGACATCCCCCGGATCGGGGCCGGGAAGCGGTCGCAAAGGGGAGCCGCTCGCCAGCCCAGGGTAACTCTCCTGCCTTCCTTCCCCTGCTCCCCACAGTTGTTGCTCAGCTTCACCATCTTGTCTCTTTTCTCTGGTCACCGACCATATTTTTTTTCCTATTGCATAAAAAACAATAAAAAGGGAAAGAAATTCGCCGAAGGAACGACCCAAACGCGACGCAATTTTTCGGTTTTCGAGTGCAAACTTTTCCGCTGCCTCCCCCTGCATCTGCACCCGCACGGTTTGGAGTTCCTGGCGATATTTTTGGCGTTATTTTTCGCAATTTATTTTTTCCTCCTTTGCAAAGGGACTAGGGCTGCGTTTCGTGATTGTTTCCATTTTGTTCTGGCTCTGGGAGCTGAGTTTGCCTGTGAGAGGCGCTTGGGAGCGAGGCAGCTCTTGGGGAAGCAGTTGCACAGAAAGAGAAAGACGGCACCCGAAAAACAACCCCCCGAAAACAAAGTTTGTTGCTTTCTCGCACTTTATCCGGCCCCTTTCCTTTTCGCACGATAAACGCCGGGCTGCCTGCGGTTGCCGGCGGCTCGGGGAGCGCGGGCGCCGGGCAGCCCGGGGAGGGCCGTTCGGGGGCTGCCGCTGCTCCGGCCCCGCTCCGCAGTTTCGGAGGAGGTTTTCCGGCGGGTGGGAGCGGCGGGTCGGTGCCAGCCCCCCGATGTTTGCCGGGCTGTATTTGCAAACACTTGGCAGGTGACGGGCGGCCGGCGGGGGGGGAGGCGACAGCCGCCTCTCCGCGCCTGCTGCCGTGCGGCTCGCTCGGCTTCAGCCGCCGCCGCTTTGATATTGAATTCGTGGGCAAAAAAAGCGGTATTTTAATATTCCGCGATCGGCAGGCGTTTAATTTCTAATTTAATTTTTTCCTTTTTTGGTGTGGGTGTTTTTTTATTTTTTTTTTTAACTGCCCGTCGGAGGCGTTCGGCCGCCGCGGGCTCGGCGCTCGGGGCTGGCGGGGCAGGGACGCGTTGCGCGGGACGGGGGCCGCGCTGCCCGCCCGCCCCGGGGGCCGGTGCCGCGGGGGGGGCTCAGGCCGAGCGGGGCGACCACCTCCCCTCTGCCCTGCCTGCCCACGTTCCTCCTGGCAGGTGTAAGGCAGCGACGTCGGCAGGAGCATGGCCCGTACCAAGCAGACCGCCCGCAAGTCCACCGGTGGCAAGGCGCCCCGCAAGCAGCTCGCCACCAAAGCCGCCCGCAAGAGCGCGCCCTCCACTGGCGGGGTGAAGAAGCCGCACCGCTACAGGTAACGCAGCGCCGCGCACAGGCGGCCGCGGGGCGCGACCGGGCAACCTCCCCCCCCCACCCCAAAAAAAAAAAAAATCCCTCCTTCTTCCCCCCACGCCGCGGGACCGATAGGGCGGGGGGCTCTTCTCCCCACCTCCTCCGCGCTCCGCTCCTCGAGCGGAATAACCAAAAAAAAATAAAAAAAATAAAACCGCCGAAAAGAAAACAAGCGCGAGTCCCCGCCAGCCGCAAAAATAGAAATTCCCAGGGCGGTACCGACCCCCGGCGTTTGTCATCAGCTCCTTTCCGGGCGTTCCGGTGCTGGTGACTACAAAATCGACACCCCTCCCCCCGCGGCGGACGCGGCTCGGCGGTTCTTTTAAATTTTTATAATTCTGCGCTCGCGGTTATCAGGAGGCCGCAGCGGGGCTGCGCCGCCGCCAAGTTTATTGTTACCGGCGCGTTCCGTTCCGCGCTCCGCTCGCGGGGCTGGAGCCGGCGGCGCTGCGCGGGCGCGGGGCCCTGCAGGGCGCGGAGCCGCCGCCAGAGGGAGCCGCGCACCCGCGGATGCGGCGGGGATCCCGCAGCGCCCGTCCCGAATCCCGGCCTTGGCATAGCGGTGCGGAACCGGTGACAGAGCTGTGACAGCCCCCCGGTGCTGAGCTTCTCCAGGCCTGGCACCCGACAGAGCGGCGGCAGTCGTGGTTCAGCCTGCAGGATGGTGTTGGGCTAGGTGTACGTCTTCTCCATCCATGTTTTCCCCAAGGAACAAGTGGGTTTTGAATAGAGGACTTAATGTAAAAGTCCAAGAGAGGTTTATTAATGTATCGAGGAGTATGAAGAGGATGGAGCCGGGCTCTTCTCAGTGGTGCCAAGCAACAGGATAAGAGGCAATGGGCAGAAATGAACAGGAAATTCCACCTGAACATGAGGAACAACTTTACTGTGAAGGTGACTGAGCATTGCAACAGATTGCCCAGAGCGGTTGTGGAGTCGTCTTCCTTGGAGATAGCCAAAAGCCATCTGGACACAATCCTGAGAAACAATCTCTGGGATGATCCTGTTTGAGCAGGGAGGTTGGGCCAGGTGACCCACTGTGGTCCCTCCTCACCTGACCCACTCTGTGATTCTTGCTCTAGGTGTGAGGCAGAATTCATCAATTGGGAGAAAAATAATAAGGCTGGAGCAGGAAAAGACAAAGCTTCCGCAGAAATAAATGTGTAATTGATTTCACAGATGAACATCGTGTTTGCAAACATATGTTGCTATTCCGAATTTGTCATTCTGACACCAAACCTAACGTGGGGGAATACCCTGGATAATTTTGACTGTCAATATAACAGAGAATACACATTTTGTTGGTTCTGTGAATGTTGATAGTAGAGAAGAAGAACCAATTTCCCTTAAAATCAGAGTTCCTGTCAGGCCCCTCGGGGGTACCTTTGGTACAGCTGAACTCATGGCAGCTCTGTGGTTTGCCACATCTGCACTGAGCTGTGCTGCTGTCACTTGGACAGCCCATGTTGGCCAACTGTTCCCTTGGTGAAGTCAGGCCTTGGGAGCCTGCCTGGCCTGAGGGATCCCTGCTGAAGCCAGTGGGAGTTGGCAGAGATTGGTGGTGAGGAGACAGTGACCCTTTGCCAGCAGAACTGATTGTGTGTTGTAAATGCTGGGACTCTCCTAGGGAAAACAGAAGTGTATGGTGCTTGGTTTAGTCTGGAGGATGTCCCCTATTTTTAAGGCGATGCAGAACATATTTTCAATACTAATTATCTTAATTTCCACTATATTTAATTTTACCAGGCCGGGTACCGTGGCTCTGCGTGAAATCAGGCGCTATCAAAAGTCCACCGAACTTTTGATCCGCAAACTCCCCTTCCAGCGTCTGGTGCGTGAAATTGCTCAGGACTTCAAGACAGATCTGCGCTTCCAGAGCGCTGCCATCGGTGCTTTGCAGGTGAGCTTTGCCCGGGTCCCGGCTCCGGGCTGGGGGGATCCCCCCCCGAGCCCCCGGGTCGGGATCCCCCCCCCCCCGAGCCCCCGGGTCGGGATCCCCCGAGCCCCCAGCCGGGATTCCCGGAGCCCCGCCCCACTCCCCCATTGGCCAGGCTGTTTCCAGGCTTCCTCTAGACTCCCTCTGATTGGTGGAGCTGCCGCGGTGGGCGTGGCCTGCACCACTGGGGAGGGATGCTCATCTCAGCCTTGCCTTATCCTGGGAGTTCCTGTGGGCACCATGGAATAAAACAGCACAGGGGCAGCTCAGCAGCTCCTCACAGAGCCTAAAAGTCTGGTTTATAGGTGGTGCTTTGGGTGTTTTATTTAAATAGCCCCTGGATTCATTAGAGTAATGCTTAAGATGCTCAAGGAAAACACATTTCCTCCACCTTTAAGCTCTGCAGTTGGAGAGGAAACATGGTGTAAAGCAGATTCAAGGGTTTCCTAATGGGGAGGTCTTGGTGTCCTCAAATGCCCTCTAAAGAAAAACAGCCTAGTAAGCCACATCTAAACACAGTTAGGGAAACAGCTGCTTTCCTAGGATGTGTTTGATGCTAAGCACATTTAAAAATATATTAGTTATGTAATTTATTTAGATTATACAGAGAGAAAAATATTAATTACTCTTTCTGGCCCAAATTTCTGAATCTAAGTCAGGACCCCCCACCAGACTGAGTTCTTACTGTGGGGACATCTCCCTCTTGTGATAAAAGACACTCCTGATTGAAGATAGCTGTTGAAAGATTGTTCCAGAACATATCTGTAGTTGTAGTCTGTCTGACATGCAGACAAAATGGTCTCTTTCCAGTTAATGACTTCCCCTTGATAAGGGGCCAAGACATTTGCCATGAGAGCCCATAAACTTGGGCATATGCTTAGCTTCAAAAGGTGCCTGTGTGTGTTTGCAGAGTTGCTGCTTTTGCTTTTAGTTATTCTGTGTGTTAGTTCTTAAATCCTGAGGTTTATCTGTGTGTCTCTTTATCTAGATCTGCCCATTAAAATTTAGTAGCTGTTACACTTTCAGAAAGCTCCTGGCTTGAATGTTCCTGGTTTTGCATTAAGGAGTTGTTGGTGTAGAACCTGGTCACATACAATTCCTAGTGGGTTCTGCTTGCATATTTGAAAAAACAAACAAACTCAAAAAAGTATTTTTTTTAAAATTAACCCCTTGGGTACCATGGTGTTTGTGCCAGCAAGGATATTTGATGAATTGTCTTAATTTTAATGTATTAATTTGACAAAACTGCGTTAAGAATTCTCATATCCTCCTGCACATTAAATGACTTAGTAATACCACAGTCCTCATCAGCTGTAGTAAATATTTGGTTTATTTCAAATTGGAAAATCTTATGTTTTTAAACAGGATCTTTGAACCCAATAAGTTGATTCCTGGAGTTCCTGGCAATCAAGTGGTTCATGCAAGGTGTTCTCTTTTGTGCGTTGTAGAAAGAGTGACCTCACCCTCCTTTCTATAATTGAGCCCCATCATTCCCCCCTTCTCAGCCCAGGTGTGGCTGTGTCCAACACTGGCACACTGAGATGGTTCCTAGGACATTGGCAGGGTTAGAATTCCATGTGTTATTGATAGGGTTAGAATTCCATGTGTTCCAAAAGTGTTTGAACAATGTCCATTGCTGTGCTGGGCTTACCAGCAGCTAACTTCACGTGAGTCAGGGAAATATTTGGGTCCAGCTGAGCATCTGTCTGGCTCAGGGTCCTGCCTGCAGCTGTGCAGTGGCAGGGAGAGCCACTGTGCTCAGCTTTGTCCTTGTGCTGCCCCTGGCTCGCTCAGGTGTGAGCTGAGAGCTGTCTGTGGTGGTGGGGTCAGTGCTGTGTCCCCAGGTGGGCAGGAAGGAAGTACAGGAACAGGGAAGTGTCTGATGGTCATTCCCTGGCTGATGCCTGGTTTTGATGGTTGAAGGAACTCCTGAACTTAAAGGAATTCTCTCATTTCTGATAGTTCTCAGTACATTTTTTCTGCTAATTTTTGACTTAAGCCACCTCTTCAGTGTCTGTGGAAGGAGCTGTATGCCTGAGCTGTGTGTTGGGAAGGAATTCGTGTTCTTCTTTTTCCCTGGCTCTTGCCAATTTCACCTGATGCTCAGCGACTCTCACTCTGGAAGAGGCAACAAACAAGTCCCTCAAACAGTGTAACCCAGCCTTTGAAAAGAGAATTTCCTAAACAAACTAACCTGCTGATAATGTAACCCCTTCCTGTCTCGTGAGAGTCCCATGGGTGTGTCAGTTCTGCTGTGCTCTGGAGGATGTCCTTACCAAACAGCAGCAGTACACTACTTTAGACACAGAATATTATCAGAAAGTGGAGGTTTTTCATTTCTGAAAATCTAAAACTTTTGATATTTGTGAGTAATAAAGATCAAAACCTCAACTCAATGCCACGTCACCCTGTACTTTTAATCCTGAACTACGAATCTTTCTTTTCCCTGATGCTCAGAGATTGAAAATATCCTTACCTCTTTTCTTCCACCCTAGGAGGCAAGTGAAGCCTACTTGGTTGGGCTGTTTGAAGACACCAACCTGTGTGCTATCCATGCCAAACGTGTCACAATCATGCCAAAAGATATCCAGCTAGCACGCCGCATACGTGGGGAGCGTGCCTAAAGCCTCGCCACCATGGGTCTGTCATCCTCCAAGCAAAATCTTCTTCCTGTTATTGGTAGTAATGAACGTTAGATATTTTTTCCATGGGGTTAAAAGGTACCTTAAGTATATGGTTGCAAGTGGAAAAATAGGGGACAGAATTGGGTATTGGCAAGTTTTCTTTCCATTTTCATTTGTGTGTGGATTTTTAATATAAACGAGGGGGACGTAAAAATAAACAATGCGGTCAAAAAAAAAAAAATAAAAAATGTGAATCGTTGAAACTTGTTCACCAAAACAACTTTATAAAAAAAAAATTATAAATAAACCTGTCAAATTTTTCTGGACAATGCCAGCATTTGGATTTTTTTAAACAAGTAAATTTCTTATCAATGGCAACTAAATGGTGTTTGTAGCATTTTTATCATACAGTAGATTCCATCCATTCACTATACTTTTCTAACTGAGTTGTCCTACATGCAAGTACATGTTTTTAATGTTGTCTGTCTTCTGTGCTGTTCCTGTAAGTTTGCTATTAAAACACATTAAATGATGCCTGGTTTTAGTCTTGATTTTTAAATATTACACATGGGTTCTATTGATTCAAAAGGGATCAGCCTTTCCTCTCCTTTTGCTCTTCAATGCATGGCCTAATTCCTTGGGGCAGATCTAGGAAATACTGGTGCTGCCTTGGCTGAAGTGGTGTATATGTGAGGTTCTTTTAAGAGTGTAAAATTTATCTGCTTCACATAAAAAATGAGTTTTGTGAATGTAGTACCAGGTAAGGTCTGGAACTGAGCTGAGCTCTCTAAGTTACAGTGCTGAGAAGCAGCAATTTGTTATTTAGATTCCTTTCTTACTTGATTTTGTGCTGAGTTTAGAAGTATTTCTGATTTTCATGGTTTTTTAGTATGTTGTAAGTGGTGGAATGTAGCAGTTTGGGTTTTTCTGTTTGGGGGTTTTATTTTTCTTGGGTGTTTTTTTTGTTTTGGGTTTTTTTACCCTTTTTTACTCCGTTGGTTTCTTGGTGTGTAGGTGTTCCCTTTTTGGTTGACTACCTTTCTGTTTCCATCACACCCTCTAGCATTTTTGAGAGCTTAGTCCACATGTGATTAGTTTCAGCTTGTACACTCCAATCTAAAAGACACTTTTGTATCATCTTTGTTACAATTCTTCACAGAAGCAGTACTTGGACAGGATCACACATTTCAAACCAACTGTGTTTTTATATTCTCCCACAATTGCTGATGGAAGTTCACATGAAGAAATTTACTGCTGAAATTCCATCCTGTGGAAACCTGGTTTTAATTTTTCCCCTTGAAATTTGTTTAAGGGTTCTGGCAGACCAGTCTGGAAACGAGTTATGTGCTGGAGTTCTTGATAGCTCTTGCAGATAATGAAATGAGCTCCACAGAAAAAAGAAACGTGGGTGGTGAACAGATTTCACCTCCATGCTAAGGCTCCTGCAGAGCTTATTTGCTGCTAACTTCTTTTGAGAGGTTTTGAGTGAGCTCTAAACACAAGTGAATTTGTCTGAAGATTTCCAAAGAGGATTAATAGAGATATATTATCTGCTTTGGTATCTTGAACAGAGAGCCAAAAATTACAGAATAAATCACATTATTCATAACTTGCTCGGCTTTGGTAATGAATGCTGTCTGCTGGGGTTGGGCAAAGTCTATTTAAATGGAGTAGCTTGTCACAGGCAAGACTAATGCTAGACAAAATGTGATCACATCCTTTTGATGCCAAGCAGTTCATTGCTATCAACTAAAAATTAAGGAAGACTCATCTTGGAGCACCCAGAACAACAAGGAATATAAAAGGTGAGCAACTGAGATGGAACTGGTTTAGGATGTCACTTCTCTCAACTTGATAACAAGCCTGTTAAACTTGCTATCAATGCATTTCAATATAATTAACTACTTGTTTTGTCCTGTACTTCAGAGTTCTGTTTCACCTATCAGTCAGCAGTGCTGCAAGCACCTACACAAACAGGTAATTAGGCTGGGAGTTTTTTATTAATTAATCTGGGACTGAAGTATAGATAAGGAACTTAGGGTTTTTTTCTTTCTTAGGAATATTAGGAAACCAAATCTCAAAATGTTGGTACTCAAATGACATGCTGAGTTCTCTCTCTCTTTGAGAGAATTGGAGTGAGGAATATCCCAGTTTAACTGACAGTGCAGTTAAATAGTTCAAGGCAGAGGAAATCCTAATAGAAGATGAGGGGATCAGGAGTCTGAGCAGATAACATTTTAGAGTTCAGTGCTTTGCCTCCAGCTTAGGGATAAACTTCACCTACTTGAAAGTTGTGGTCCTAGAGATGCAGGTGAATCCTTTTAGTGATTAGCTGTCTGTGCCTGAAGCAATGCCAAGAAACTTCAGTTTCCAAAATAGTTTAAGTCTTCCTCTCCTTCCCCTCCCATACCAATTTTGCTGTTTCCTGGGCAGTGCAGCTACAGCTGAGATTTTGGACACCAGAAACAAGTTCTGGTCCTGTGGATGTGCTTCTGTGGAGCAGTTTAACTGTTCTGAGTGGAGGGATGGATGTGAAGTAGCTCCTTGTTAGTCATATTCAGAACTTGAACATCTCTTTAAGACATTTGATGTATGTCCAGTGCCCAATTTCTGAATTATTTTGGTTAAATCCTTTATAATGTGTATGTGATAAGTAGGTTTTTAGGTCTTTGTTTTACATTTGTATTTTAGCAGCTGTATTTACTTGCTTTTTGCTCCAGAGTAAGTACAAAACCTTATTTTAAGTTGGTCACTTTGTATCATAAAACCTTATTTGTAGTTGGTTGCTTTGTATCAGCAACACAAAAAGCCAACTTGCTTACCAGAGCCAAAAATTAATGTTGTGGGAAATAATTTCAGACACAAGATCAAGTTCAGACACAAGATCAGCCTCTCTTATGTGGCTTTAACAAATTCAATGAGCAGTTCTTGAGAGCTTGACTAAGAGGGAGCTCAGGCCCAGCATTTCAGATTTTATTTAGGACAGTAACTTGCTGACCCTAAATTAACTAATATTGGTGTACCTGTGTTTTAGTGTTGCCTCTCTGGGCTGTGTTCCTCCAGCCCTTTGTCCCACCGGGCAGTAGCTGTTAGGTGATCCTAATCCAGGCACCAGATTCCACTTTTTTAAATGAGAGCAGTGTGTCTCACATCCATACTCCCTGTGCCACCATTTTTGGTCTTTGCATATCCACTTGCTCTGAAGATCTGGAGCTTAACTTTAGGATTCAAGGTTTAATAAAATACAGGCAATGGTCTGGTCAAATATTTTGTTCACTGTGATTTTATTTCTTGCTCTGGCAAAAAAACCACATTACTTTTCTTGGCCTTTGTAGGAGTAAGAGCTTAATAACACTTTTCATAGAACTTGGTTTCAAAGGCTGGAATTAAGAGGAGGAATTTTAGTGTCAGAATAGTTGTTGGGTTCTTTTTTTGCCCTGGTCCAGATCAGGAGGATATTGAGGAGCTGTTTGCTCAGCTTTTACTTTGTGTAATGACTCATCCTCAGGGATGAAATGTTTTTGCACTAGGTGGATTTGCCGACCTGTTTGTGGCAGGTTGGCCTCTAAATATTTTGTTGACCAGAAAGCCACTGTTTATATATTCCTTTTTTTTTTAATCTGTGAGGAGGCTTTAGATCTTTAGACCTTGGTAATACAATGTCAAAAAGATAGCTGAGTGTGTAAAAGGCTTTACATCTGTGTAAATAATAGTGTTAAAAAGGGATTGTTAGCACTGCATGGGCTTATAGGATCTTAATGTAAGCTACCTTTTTGATTGCCTTCCTGGGAATATTACCTGTTAGATGATCAAAAACTAAATAAATATACAAAAAATTACTTATTTTAAACAAAGACACTTGCCTAATTCTGGGAAATGGCTGCAAAATGCTGAGGCTCAGGAATGCTCTCAGCTGCAGCACACCTAGGCTGGAGTTTTCTGCTTTTTCCTTGGTGGTGATCCTTACTGTCCCCCTGCAGCAGTAACACCAAAGATCAGGACATGGGAGTAAAATCCCACAAAAAACAAGGCTGGGGTCAAAGGCAGGGGGTGTGTGCTCTCCAAGTCATCATAGTTGCTCCTCAGAGGGGAAATAAGCCTGGGTTTTCTGTCCATCTCTCTTGAGAACACATTTGTAGGCTTCTATGTGGTTTGAGGCGTGTGCTCACATCCTCTGCTGTTGTGTCCCCTGCCAGCAGCATCCCACTCATCTCCTTCTGCAGGCAGGCTATTACACACAGCAGGGTCTCTGGCAGCAGGGGGGCTTTATGTTACTGAAAGCTCCTGGGATGTCAGAAAGATTTAAGTTTAAGAAAAAAAATAATCCCGGAAAAGAAAATCCCTACGGCTCTGGCAACCACTTGTGTCTCCTGATGGTGGCAGGACTGAGGGTTCTCACCCTGCTCCCTTGAGAGGAGCTGCCTTCACCTCCTCTTTGTGATCATGTGTGTGCTGTTCCATGGAGGCATCCCAAGCAAGCCCAGCTGGAAAATGTCTGTGGAAAATGCCTCTAGACCCCAGAGTGAGTGAGAGCTAATCCCACATTCCTCTGCGATAAACGCTGACCCTTGGGTTTGCTCCTGAGCGATTGCTCTCCGCTCCTGCCAACCTAGATTTGCAAGAAATGGTGTGATTGTGGAAAACTTCAGTTGAATTGGTGAGGGGTAAATTCTCCCTTCTGCCTTCATCTTGTGCCTGCTTTGAGGAGAGGCTGAGACAGCACCTGAGTCAGCAGCAGGTGAGGGATCTGAGACAACACCTCAGTCAGCAGCAGGTGAGGGATCCTGAGACTTCAGTCATCACCAGGTGAGGGATGCTCCTTTAATTTCCTGGGACTGGAGGAGCAGGAGGCCTGGAGGAGCTGCCCATTCTCCCTCTCCTGCTCCATCAGTGCCTGGCAGCTGAGCCCTGCCAGGAGGCCGGGCTGGGAGCGCTGCCAGGACAACACATGGCCGGGATGCTGCCTGAGGAGCCGGGCCTGGCAGGAGGGGCTGGGAGCGGCCTCAGGACCGGCTCCCGCTGAGGGGCTGCGTGTCCATGAGCCTGGAGCTGCTCCCAACAACCCCAGGTCAGATCAGGAGGGGCTCAGGAGGTGCCAGGCTCGGGTGGGCACATGCAGGGACCTCGGGCTTGGGATCGGCCGGGGAGCAGGGAGGGAGCAGCACAAGGTCCGTGCTGGATGGAGGGATGGATGGATGGATGGATGGATGGATGGATGGATGGATGGATGAGTGGATGGTGGCTTTTCCTTTGTGCCTCCTGCCATCTGCAGCCCGCTGGGCTGAGGGTGGGGAAGATGCTCAGAGTAGGGGAGGCTTCTCCAGCAGATCCTGGGGGTGTGGGCAGCATTTGGGCATGGGTATGGAGGGGCTTCTCAGCTGGCCTGCAAGAAAAGCTGACTTATCAGAAGAAATAACAATTGGTGATTTTTGAGTGTACCCGTAGCAAAGAAGAAGACAAGACTGTCAGCATAGAAACAGATTAGAAAAGACACATGGAAATTTCTGTAAGCTAGACTACATGCATAAGCAGA